AGTTTGAGTTTAACTAAACAGTAGTTTAGTTTGAGTTTAACTAAACAGTAGTATAGTTTGAGTTTAACTAAACAGTAGTATAGTTTGAGTTTAACTAAACAGTAGTATAGTTTGAGTTTAACGAAACAGTAGTTTAGTTTGAGTTTAACTGAACAGTGGTTTAGTTTGAATTTAACTAAACAGTAGTATAGTGTGAGTTTAACTAAACAGTAGTATAGATTGAGTTTAACTAAACAGTAGTATAGTTTGAGTTTAACTAAACAGTAGTATAGTTTGAGTTTAACTAAACAGTAGTTTAGTTTGAGTTTAACTAAACAGTAGTATAGTTTGAGTTTAACTAAACAGTAGTATAGTTTGAGTTTAACTAAACAGTAGTATAGATTGAGTTTAACTAAACAGTAGTATAGTTTGAGTTTAACTAAACAGTAGTATAGTTTGAGTTTAACTAAACAGTAGTTTAGTTTGAGTTTAACTAAACAGTAGTATAGTTTGAGTTTAACTAAACAGTAGTATAGTTTGAGTTTAACTAAACAGTAGTATAGTTTGAGTTTAACTAAACAGTAGTATAGTTTGAGTTTAACTAAACAGTAGTATAGTTTGAGTTTAAGTAAACAGTAGTATAGTTTGAGTTTAACTAAACAGTAGTTTAGTTTGAGTTTAACTAAACGAGAGCATGAATGACCTTGAGAAGCGGCACAGCGCTCCTGCGCATTCTTCAGTGATGCTCCGCGCCTGCTGCTCGGAGCGACGTCTCCTGTTGTTTGTGTTGACGTGTTTGTGTTGACGTGTTTGTGTTGACGTGTTTGTGTTTGTGTGTTTGTGTTGATGTGTTTGTGTTGACGTGTTTGTGTTGATGTGTTTGTGTTGACGTGTTTGTCTTTATGTGTTTGTGTTAACGTGTTTGTGTTGACGTGTTTGTGTTGACGTGTTTGTGTTGACGTGTTTGTGTTTGTGTTGACGTGTTTGTGTTGATGTGTTTGTGTTGACGTTTTTGTGTTTATGTGTTTGTGTTGATGTGTTTGTCTTTATGTGTTTGTGTTGACGTGTTTGTGTTGACGTGTTTGTGTTGACGTGTTTGTGTTTGTGTTGACGTGTTTGTGTTGACGTGTTTGTGTTGACGTGTTTGTGTTGACGTGTTTGTGTTTGTGTGTTTGTGTTGATGTGTTTGTGTTGACGTGTTTGTGTTGATGTGTTTGTGTTGACGTGTTTGTCTTTATGTGTTTGTGTTGATGTGTTTGTCTTTATGTGTTTGTGTTGACGTGTTTGTGTTGACGTGTTTGTGTTGACGTGTTTGTGTTGACGTGTTTGTGTTTGTGTTGACGTGTTTGTGTTGACGTGTTTGTGTTGACGTGTTTGTGTTTATGTTGACGTGTTTGTGTTGACGTGTTTGTGTTGACGTGTTTGTGTTTGTGTTGACGTGTTTGTGTTGACGTGTTTGTGTTGACGTGTTTGTGTTTATGTGTTTGTGTTGACGTGTTTGTGTTGACGTGTTTGTGTTGACGTGTTTGTGTTGACGTGTTTGTGTTTACGTGTTTGTGTTGACCTGTTTGTGTTAACGTGTTTGTGTTTACGTGTTTGTGTTGACGTGTTTGTGTTGTTGTGTTTGTGTTGACGTGTTTGTGTTGTGTTTGTTTTGACGTGTTTGTGTTGACGTGTTTGTGTTGACGTGTTTGTGTTGACGTGTTTGTGTTTGTGTTGACGTGTTTGTGTTGACGTGTTTGTGTTTACGTGTTTGTGTTGACCTGTTTGTGTTAACGTGTTTGTGTTTACGTGTTTGTGTTGACGTGTTTGTGTTGTTGTGTTTGTGTTGACGTGTTTGTGTTGTGTTTGTTTTGACGTGTTTGTGTTTATGTGTTTGTGTTGACGTGTTTGTGTTGACTTGTTTGTGTTGTTGACCTGTTTGTGTTTTACGTGTTTGTGTTGACGTGTTTGTGTTGACGTGTTTGTGTTGACGTGTTTGTGTTGTGCGGGTTTGTGTTGTACATGTATGCTGTGTCTACGTGTTTGTGTTGACGTGTTTGTCTTTATGTGATTGTGTTAACGTGTTTGTGTTGACGTGTTTGTGTAGATGTGTTTGTGTTAACGTGTTTGTGTTGACGTGTTTCTCATGACGTGTTTGTGTTGACCTGTTTGTGTTTACGTGTTTGTGTTTATGTGTTTGTGTTGTTGACGTGTTTGTGTTTATGTGTTTGTGTTGTTGACGTGTTTGTGTTTCTCATGACGTGTTTGTGTCGACGTGTTTGTGTTGACCTGTTTGTGTTATTTGTGTTGACGTGTTTGTATTAAAGTGTTTGTGTTGACGTGTTTGTGTTTGTGTCGACGTGTTTGTGTTGACCTGTTTGTGTTATTTGTGTTGACGTGTTTGTATTAAAGTGTTTGTGTTGACGTGTTTGTGTTGACGTGTTTGTGTTGTATATTTGCCTTTGTGTTGGCGTGTTTGTGTTATTTGTGTTGTCGTGTTTGTATTAAAGTGTTTGTGTTGACGTGTTTGTGTTTGTGTCGACGTGTTTGTGTTGACCTGTTTGTGTTATTTGTGTTGACGTGTTTGTATTAAAGTGTTTGTGTTGACGTGTTTGTGTTGACGTGTTTGTGTTGTATATTTGCCTTTGTGTTGGCGTGTTTGTGTTATTTGTGTTGTTCCGCGCGTGCTGAGATGGATATTTCCACATTGCCATGGTGGAGGTGGCCAGGGATTTCCCAACACCCCCCCCCCCCCCCCCCGTTATATTCCCACAAAGCTGCGCTCGTTGTACAGCACACAGAGGAATGGTGGTGGTGATGTGAGTAGAACTTCTTTCGCACCGTACGTAGCCAACCGTGCAAATCGGAGGTGCGGGGGAAGGGCATCAAACTAAACACAAAAAGGAGTTCTGAAGAAACGAATTATCAATGTAGATTATTTAAACGTGCGTAGGTCCAGCGGCTTCTTAATATCGGACGGAAGAGCTTTCCAGACGGCCGCAGAAGCGCATCCGAAAGCACGATGACGAGTGACATTAGCAACAAGAAGATGATGGCAGCGTCGATGATGGCGACAATTAATGAAGATCTTCACAACGATGTGATAACATCATCGATGATGGTTACGAATGATGATGATGTTGATCGATGACGCTAGATGACGATGGTGCTGTCCACCCAGGTAACAATCCGCGATCTGGGTTTCTTATCGAAGCGCATCAGACTCGGCCGCTGCCACGCGTCTCGAGGAACGATGTCACAGCCTTCGGTTTGGCAGATTGATAAGATATGGCGAATGGAGAGTCGATTAAAGGGCAGACATCACTCGGACCCTGTACTCATTACCAAGTCTTTTTTAGTTGTTACACTGATAGGACCTTTAAATACACGCGTCAGGCAAAACAAAACTAAGTCCTTGGGGTATAAAGTGAGAATCTTGAGAGATGTGGCTGGGTGGCTCAGAGCACTGACATCCTGGGTTCAAATCCAGGTAGCCGTCTGTGATTAAGCCGGTAAGTTGGGTCGCCAATCACCGCACAAATAAACAAAAATACACCGCATCACAGTTAGATTTGGCTCCGCAATAAACGTTGCCTCGATTCCATCTCTGAGATGAAATAACATCGGTTGTGAGCGTCACGCGGCGAACATCCCCCCGTTGGGAGCGTGCGTGATGAAAGTGCTGCCCCCCTTAGCCCCCCTCTACGAGTGCGTGGGCGAGAGGTCACGCGAAGGGACCGCGGAAGTCGTTCCGCGGCTCCCGCTGACCCCCCCCCCCCCACTCCTGCGCCACTGAGCAGCGACCGCACGGCCGCCGGTAGTTCCGAGCAACGCCTCGAACTCCTCGCAACTTACTTATGAGGGAGGGGACCCCCCACAGCAACATCGCCCCCCTACCAGCTGACGAATGTCCATTCTCAAGGCAGTGTTGTGGACAACTGTGCCATTGGGAGGGGTGGTGGGGGGGGGGCTACCCCTGGCTGGGCTTCAGCAGGGCACTGGAATGGTTGAGATGAGGTGCAAAGTGCTTGGAGTTTCCGGGGGCATTGAAACATCCTTTAAATGCTTATCCATGCATACTTACCTATGGCTATCTGTGCGAGCCTGGGGGCCTAAGTGTGAGTCTGTGGCAATCTCTGCGAGTTTACGGGCCCCCATGTGAGTCTATGGGTCTCTGTGTAAGTCCGTGGGTCTTTGTGTGAGTCTATGGATCTCTGTGTGAGTCTGTGAGTCTCTGTGTGAGTCTATAAGTATCTGTGTGAGACTATGGGCCTACTCTGTGTGAGTCTATGGGTCTCTGTGTGAGTCTATGGGCCTACTCTGTGTGAGTCCATGGGTCTCTGTGTGAGTCTATGGGCCTACTCTGTGTGAGTCTATGGGTCTCTGTGTGAGTCTATGGGCCTACTCTGTGTGAGTTTATGGGTCTCTGTGTGAGTCTATGGGCCTACTCTGTGTGAGTCTATGGGTCTCTGTGTGAGTCTATGGACCTACTCTGTGTGAGTCTATGGATCTCTGTGAGTCTACGGGTCTCTAAAGTTCCATGGGTATCTATGCGAGTCGTCTACATGCGGCGAAGGGATGGCTACTGCTGGGGGCTCCCCTTGACGGGACTGCAGCAGGGCAGTGTAGCGGGTCGCGATGATGCAATGATGGATGAGATGATGAGATGATGGATGAGATGATGCGATGATGCAATGATGGATGAGATGATGCGATGAGATTATGGATGAGATGAGATGATGGATGAGATGATGAGATGATGGATGAGACGACGAGATGATGGATGAGATGATGCGATGAGATGATGGATGAGATGATGCGATGAGATGATGGATGAGATGATGCGATGATGGATGAGATGATGAGATGATGGATGAGATGATGCCATGAGATGATGGATGAGATGATGCAATGAGATGATGAGATAATGAGATGATGAGATGATGGATGAGATGATGAGATGATGGATGAGATTATGGATGAGATGATGGATGAGATGATGCGATGAGATGATGAGATGATGGATGAGATGATGAGATGATGGATGAGATGATGGATGAGATGATGCGATGAGATGATGGATGAGATGATGAGATGATGGATGAGATGATGAGATGATGGATGAGATGATGCGATGATGCGATGATGAGATGATGAGATGTAGACGGCGTGGGGCATCTGAGCCAAATGCGCTACCTTACCCGTCAACACTCGGCACACGGCACGGGCACCACAACAACAACAACAACAGCAGCAGCAGCAGCAGCAACAACAACAACAACAAACGTCCCCACCGCGCCTCCCGACGCCTTCACGCGTACGTGAAGTCGAGCGGCGCGAGCAGCGGCTGGCCGAGCGAGCGCGCGCCGGCCGGCACGGGGATGTAGCCCAGCAGTGCCATGGCCCCCCGGCAGTTGTCCTCCACCTGGCGCACCTGCTGCACGGCCAGGCGCGTCCTCCACTCGCCCAGCGCCGCCCTCGCGTCCATGGAGCCCACGCGGAACGGATCGCCGCCCCCCGCCGCCGAGGAGCGGTTTCCGCCTCCTCCCCCTCCGACCATTCGGCGCACGAAGTCGCCGAGGGCCGGCTCGGGGCGCAGGCCCGCGAAGGCGTGCATGGCGCCGAGCGAGCGCAGCGGGGAGCGCACCACGTCCTCGTAGCGCACCAGCATGTAGCGGCCGCGCAGCCACGGCGGAGACGCCAGCGCCGCCCCCACGGCGCGCTCGGTCGACGCGCAGATCGGCCCCATGGCGGCGAGGGCGTTGAGCTCGCTGGGGTGCGAGGGGCCGCCCGGCGCGCGGCGCTCGCGGCCCGACGACGCCGGTGGAGGAGGCGCGGGGTCGGCGTCGTCGGGCGAGCCGAGGGGGCGGTGGGAGCGCTGCAGGAGGAGGTGGTGGTGGGCCTTGTCGCGACGCAGCGAGCGCACCACCTGGAGGCTTTCGCGGATGAGGCCGTGCTTGGACTTGAGACGGGAGCTGGCGACCGCGCGCGGGTCTCGGACCAGGTGGATCACCTGGGGGGCCCGCGGGGGGGGGGGGTGTGTGGGGACGTGTTGGAAGAGGGGGGTGCGACAGACGTTATAACGCAAAGACAAAGGTCCCCGTGTAGCCTTGACAGACTGTTGGGGCAAGCGCTGTTTGCGAGCACCCATGAAGGTCGGCACGGCGCACGAGGGGGTGGGTGGCCAGCACCACCATAGACCGCCTTTGTCTTCCCAGTGGCGATGTTTACACATCGCACCAGGTATTCATTTGAGGCTAAGTCGATCTAGGGTAGGCCCAGGACCGGTTCAGATAATCGTCACTGGTGTCGCCCGTGAGCGGAAATCGAACCATTCTGGAACCTCTACACCTCGGGATGTTTCTAGCTCATAAATGCTGTCTGTGTATGTACGTTGAACTTTTTTCGCACCGTACGTCGCCAACCGTGCTAATCGGAGGTGCGGGGGAAAGACAACAGCAATATAAACGCAAAAATCAGTTCTAAAGAAATTAGTTTTCAATTTAGATGATTAAAAAGTGCATAGTTCCAGCGGTTTCCTAATATCGGAAGGAAGAGCGTTCCAGACGGCCGCAGAAGCGCACCTGAAAGCGCGCGGTGCCGTGACCACCTTTGTTCGGTGCTGCGAGGATGGCCCGGAGTTTCGTCTGATGATTGTTTACGCCCCTTGACGAGATCAGCGAGGTATTGTGGTTCATCTGTGGCTCGCACTTTGTGTGTAACGAGTGCGACCTCAAAAAAATGCAGCTCGGCGAGCATGTATACAATAACATCTGAGATGTGTCTCTCGCGTAGCGCAGCGCATGAACACTGCCATCCATCCTTGTACGCGTGGTGCGTGTCCTGCTCTCCGTCTGCCGGTCACATCTCTCCGTCTGTCTCCCCGTGCCGTCTCTCTGCCTCCCTGCCGAGTCTCTCCCCTCCCTCCATCCATCTCGCGGCGATGGCGCTCGCAGCAGTAAACCCACGTCCGCGGCAACGCGGCACGGCGCTCGACGCCGCCGATTAATCATCACCGCGCGAAGACAAAAGTCCCCGTGTAGCCGAGACAGCCTGTCAGGGCAAGTGTGGAATGACACGCACAGGGTGAGGGTGGTGGGGAGGGGGTAGCGCCACGTCTCGCCGGCTCGCCGCCTCTACCCTGCCGGCCACATCCAGGCGGCGTTTCCCAGGCAGCACTCTCGGTCCATCATCGACACCGTCCCCTGCCGCTTACTGCGGTCAAGTTCGACGCAGTAACGGCACCGCTGCCGCATCTCGGTACAAACAATGTCCTGCCGTCACCCGAACACGGCTGCCAATCCCCGCAGGTGACAACCCAACCGGATCAAACCTGGGCAGGTGACAAAGCTACTGGACTACGACCCGTTTGGGGATAACTCGCCACTCACACTGTTTGCTGTGGGGAGCGGTGGTGCAGTGGTTAGCGCGATGCGCTACGAACCCGGCCACCCGAGTTTCAATTCCAGCCCACGGCCATCTCCAGTGAAGATCCTGGGCTTCCCCTAGGTCGACTCAGCCTCAAATCAGTACTTGGTGCGGTGTGTGAACATCGTCATGGGGAGAAAAAGTCGGCCGGGCGTGGTGCTGGTCACCCACCCCCTCGTGTGCCGTGGCGGCCTTCATAGGTGCTCGCTAACAGCACTTGCCCTAACAGACTGTTGAGGCTATACAGGGGGATCTTTGTCTTTTTTTCTGTGACTGGCAATCAAAGCCAGATGGCTGGAGTATGTAGTGCACTGCGCCAGCCACTCTGTCCCACCACTCCCGACAAACACACGCATCTCCGATGAGCACGGTCTGCTACGTACGGTGCGACAGAAGTTCACCATACGTACACACACACACGCAGTATAAATAGTCAAATGAAAGTTCAAGTTGAATGTTTATATTTTTTTAAACCAGATGAGAACTCGCTCAAGAGAGCTGGATGAGTCCGATTTACTGGCGCATTCGCCTGCTGCCAGTAGGGGGCAATGATTGATCGTGCTGCTGCTGCTGCTCCTGCTGCTGTGTGTATCATTCCAATTGAGTGGTTTGCGGTGTCAATTTTCGAACTTGCCAAACTATGAACCCCTGACGCCGGCAGACAACGGCCTACTCCTGCGAATGACATCGAGGGTGGGGGGGGGGGTGACACTACAGCAGCCACACACGTGGAAGGCAGTGAGGGTGATCATAGCGTCTCCTTCGGGCAGCGCGTTGCGACCGGACTGCGGCTTGAGACAGGCAGCATGAGTGGCTGTGGCCACCTCCAAGCCAAATGTCGCACCTCCTTTTGTTTAACTAAAGACTCAACTGTAAACTTTATTATTATTATGCCAGGTAAGGCCCACTGAGCTGTATAGCTTTTTTTGCAGAAGCGGCCTGGCTATCACAAATGATCGCTCAACAAAGTGGCCAATCACGCGGACATTTCCAGCAGCCAAATACTCGAGACGCGTGATGTTGATTCTAAATGTGGAGGGAAAAAGCGGAGGACCCGGAGAAAAATCCACGCGACCACGGGGAGAGAGACAGAGACACCGCAAACTCCAAATTAACATCAGGCGTCAGAATCAGTATCGAACCCACGACCTCCTGTATACCAGGCGAGGGAGTTAACATCTCTTAGCCACCGCGGTGCCCACGGGTGTGGCATCTCGTGTATCGTTTACGACGTTCGCACCTCCACGTAGTCTTAGCCCGCGCCAGCGGCCGAGACGTGTGCGTGGACACCGCGCGTGGAGACCTTGAAAGCACTTCGCGCTGAGGGCTCAATGCGGCGTTAACGGCTCATTAAAAGACCGGTGACCAAAATGCATTGTTGTACTGCACTTCTACACCGCAGCTATGCTCCCCTGCCTTCTCGAAACTGGAACATGGCGAATGAAGTTTTAATAACAACGTCGTAGATGTATTTTAGTTTAACACTACACGTGTGAATCAGATCGTATCACAGATGGCTAATCAGGGTTGAGTGCTTGACGGAAGACCACGTCCATACAAACAGGTGCTATAGGCTGCAGTTACAGCCTGTTGCAGCAAGCGCTACTCTTGTACTCTACCTCTATGCTCCCACGCAATGTGCTGCACCTTCATGAGGCACCGCACTCACCTTCTGAGCTCACCACTCACCCCCGTAGCCTGAACAGACTGTTGGGGCAAGTGCTGTTAGTGAGTAGCACCTGTGAAGGCCGCTACGGCACACGAGGGGGTGGGTGGCCACCGCCACGCGCGGCCGCCTTTGTCTCCCCAGTGTTGATGTTTACACACCGCACCAGGTACTCATTTGAGCCTGAGTCCATCTAGGGGAGGCTCAGGATCGGTTCAGATGATTGTGACTGGAGTTGGTAGCCGTGACAGCGCATTCACTCACGTACACGTCACATCCCACACATCCCACACATCACATCCCACACATCCCATCCCATACATCACATCCCACACACCTCATCCCAAACACCTCATCCCACACATCACATCCCATCCCACACACCTCATCCCACACATCACATCCCATCCCACACATCACATCCCACACATCCCATCCCACACATCCCATCCCACACATCCCATCCCACACATCACATCCCACACATCACATCCCATCCCACACATCCCATCTCACACATCACATCACATCCCACACATCACATCCCATCCCACACATCCCATCCCACGCATCCCACACATCCCACACATCCCATCCCACACATCCCATCCCACACATCCCATCCCATCCCACACATCCCATCCCACACATCCCATCCCACACATCCCATCCCATCCCACACATCCCATCCCACACATCCCATCCCAAGGGCCCGACCTTGAGATTGAGCGAGGGATCCTGGAGGAGCGGTGCGAGCAGCTCGAGGTCGAAGATCCGCACTCCCTTGATGACGACGAGCGGCAGGCGGCGGCAGCGAGCCTCCACGTCGGCGAGCGGGCGCGGGGGGCAGAGGCGTGAGCAGGCGCGCTCGTCCACCAGCGCTGGCGCCGCTCCCCCGCGGGGCCGCGCCAGCGCCGGGCACAGCGGCGGGGAGCAGAGCGCGCGGTTGAGCGGCGAGCGGAAGATGTCGCGACTCGTCATGTTCTGCCCGTTGCCGTACAGGTTGAACACCTGGGGGGGTGGGGGGGGGGGGCGATTTTAGCCGGCGTAGCGTTTCAGAAAACAACGCCTCGACAGAGTTCCAGCACAGCGACTGGGGAGAAACGCCACGGCGTTTGTTTCGTCGCTGAAGCAGCAGCACCGCCGGCTCCTCGGCGAGGGGTGGAAGGCGAAGCGTCGTGCGCTGGGAAGGCGGCGGCCCAGAGTGTACCAGCCACTACTGCCCAGTTCGGGGCTTTTTTTGCTACCTGTGCTGGAATAAAACCCAAACCTTCGGTCCATCCCGCACTGAAGGACCCCCCTCCCCACGCTCTGTGAGTCGTGGGGGGATTCAGGGCGGGGGTGGGCGTTATTTGACCATACTTCACCACGCTGTTCAGTGTTGGGGGGGGGGAGCGTAGTGGTTGAAGGATCGCTCGGTGGTACGACGGCCGATGTTGGCGCGCGGCCGCGACGCCGCGATTGTGGTCCCCCACTGCAGCCTGTGACCGCCCGTTGTTACCCACGGTGGTTATGAGAAGTTAACTCCCTCGCCTGGTATGCAGAAGGTCGTGGGTTCGATCCCGACCCTGATGCCTGCCGTATATTTGGAATTTGTGGTGTCTCTCTCTCTCCGTGGTGGCGTGGATTTTTCTCCGGGTCCTCCGGTTTTTCCCCCTCCACATTTAGAATCAACGTCACACGTTCAGATTATTTGCCTGCTATAAATGTGCACATGATTCCACATCATTTGTGATGGCCAGGTCGCTTTTAAAAAGAGAGCTGTGTTGCTCAGTGGGCCTTACCTGGTAAAAATATTTCATAGAATTGTCCAGGCTCAAGACCTGCTTAGCTTCTAAGGTCTGACACGGTTCGATGTAGTAATCCACAGTAGATTTTTAATAAAAGAGTTAAAGTGGCCATTAGGTCCTGGAGGCAGGTTGCTGGTTCGCCAGGCAACTGCTGAAATTCTGGGATGCGATTCTGTGGTTCATCCGCCTGTAATTACAGTGGGTTGTCTCAGCCCATTCACGCGAAAAAAGAGATATCCTGCATACTAGGCAAGGTCGCTAACATCTCATAGCCACCGCGGCACCCAGTGTCCGCCTCGTGACCATAAGCACGCATCGGTACCTGGCTGAAAAGTCTTCAAATAGAAACGGCATGTAGCAGGGCCTTCTTGAGAGAAAAAAATCAGTCCTTAGGCTTTTCTGAATAAAGAAGTAAAATTTGTATAATTATTATCGGGTGTAAAGGCAACTTAAAATTATAATTTTTTTCTCAAAAAAGTTTGACAAGCTGGAAAAGACTTCACGTGGCTTCTGCCGTAAAAAAATTGCTGCGGCGGTAAAGTTAAATGGTGCATCCCATGACAAAACGTCGCCTCCACAGAGGCGAGATGAGCGAGAGATGAGCCACTGCCTTGAACTGACTACGCCTGCTCTTGCCGATTTATAATCCCAACGACTCGTACGACGAGCTCGCTCCATAAACCTCTCTGGCGGGCCCCTTTTTTTTTTACTCAGGAAGCAGGAAAGGGAAAACATACATCGGAAACATTTTCCCTAAGGGGCGGCTTCCCTCTCTGGGTCAGTGGTTGCCAATAGGTCTGCCACAAGTCCCGGCTTTGAGTCCAGGTCAGTCCGGAAATTGGCAGGGCGGTGTTCGGGTTGGCAGCAGGAATTGATTTGCACCCACATCTCGCGGTGCCGGTGCTGCTGCTAAGTTGAACTTTGTTGCGGTGAACTGCAGCACATCACAGATTTCGTGCCGACTGAGAGATACTGTACGTACACGTGTGGACTCCAGTGGATAAGGTGGCAACCCTGACGCTTACTCACCCACGCACTCATTCAGTCATCTACTCGCTCACCCACTCACTCATTCAGTCACCCACACACTCACCCACCCACTCATTCAGTCATCTACTCACTCATTCAGTCACCCACTTACGCATTTAGTCACCCACTCACCCATTCTGTCACCCACACACTCACCCACCCATTCACTCATTAGGTCACCCATTCATTAGGTCAACCACTCACTCACTCAGTTACCCACTTACTCACCCACCCACTCACTAATTCAGGCACCCACTTACCCATTCACCAACACATTAATGTACTAATTTATTTTTCAAGTCACTCAGTAATTCACCCACTTATCCACCCACTGGTGTAATCACATGTCCGGGAACTGGGATCTGTGTTTTGGTGGTAGGCATTGGTTTGTACTAAGATCTGGAGCAAGTTAAAGTTACAGGCAGCCAGAACCGGGAGCCACCAACAATTGCCCGAGCTCTGCGGTCCTACATTTGGACGTTTGGTCAACTTCAATAGCTTGGGGGGGGGAACTGGAGCACCCAGAGGAAACGCGTGCGTGCGAAAACAGCGACGCTGTATCCTCGTGCAGATGGAGCAGATGGAGTCCACGGTTTCTCTACCTCCTCCTCCTCCAGGCGAGCCAGGGTACGGCGCCTCCTCGACGCCAACCAAGAAGGGAGTTTGACTCCACGAGTGGGCGCGCGATCCGTCAACCTTCGCTGCCTACACAGCGCCGGGTCGCGAGCACCACATGGGTAGCCACCACCAACAACTCCACGGCCACCACCACCGCTGCCACCACCACCGCGCGGCAACACCCACGGTGCAGCTGCGCTCAACAAAGCCCCTCGCGCGATCTTCGCGTGGGGAGTTGATACATTTGAAAAGTGGACACCCCAGAAGATAGTGTGAGTGAGTGTGTTGCTGTGAACTGCAGTGTGGTGAGTGTGTGGGTGAGTGTGTGGCTGAGTGGGTGGGTGAGTGTGGTGGGTGAGTGGATGGGTGAGTGTGTGGCTGAGTGTGTGGGTGAGTGTGTGGGTGAGTGTGTGGGCGAGTGTGTGGGTGAGTGGGTGGGTGAGTGTGTGGGTGAGTGTGTGGCTGAGTATGTGGCTGAGTGGGTGGGTGAGTGTGTGGGTGAGTGTGTGGCTGAGTGGGTGGGTGAGTGGGTGGGTGAGAGTGTGGGTGAGTGTGTGGCTGAGTGGGTGGGTGAGTGTGGTGGGTGAGTGGGTGGGTGAGTGTGTGGGTGAGTGTGTGGGTGAGTGTGTGGGTGAGTGGGTGAGTGAGTGAGTGGATGAGTGTGTGGGCGAGTGTGTGGGTGAGTGGGTGGGTGAGTGTGTGGCTGAGTATGTGGCTGAGTGGGTGGGTGAGTGTGTGGGTGAGTGTGTGGGTGAGTGTGGTGGTTGAGTGTGTGGCTGAGTGTGTGGCTGAGTGGGTGAGTGTGTGGGTCTGTGAGTGCGTGACTGAGTGGGCGAGTGTGTGGGTGAGTGTGTGGTGGGTGGGTGGGTGGGTGAGTGTGTGGCTGGGGGTGTGTGGCTGAGTGGGTGGGTAAGTGTGTGGGTGAGTTTGTGGCTGAGTGGGTGTGTGAGTGCGTGGCTGTGTGGGCGTGTGTGTGGGTGAGTGTGTGGTGGGTGAGTGGGTGGTGAGTATGTGGCTGAGTATGTGGCTGAGTGGGTGGGTGAGTGTGTGGGTGAGTGTGTGGGTGAGTGTGGTGGGTGAGTGGGTGGTTGAGTGTGTGGGTGTGTGAGTGCGTGGCTGAGTGTGTGGGTGAGTGTGTGGTGGGTGAGTGGGTGGGTGAGTGTGTGGCTGAGTGTGTGGCGGAGTGGGTGTGTGAGTGTGTAGGTGAGTTTGTGGCTGAGTGGGTGAGTGGGTGTGTGAGTGCGTGGCTGAGTGGGCGTGTGTGTGGCTGAGTGTGTGGCTGTGTGGGTGGTTGAGTGTGTGGGTGAGTTTGTGGCTGATTGGGTGAGTGTGTGGGTGAGTGTGTGGCTGAGTGTGTGGGTGAGTTTGTGGACCCCCCTAATGGAACATCTTCGCCGGTTAGAAACATTTAGGCTCGCCTGCCTACGAGCCATCCTGGGTTTAACCAGGCTGGATTGTGTGAGGAGCTCACAAATCTTTGAAAGATCTGGGCAAGGTCTCATCAGTGAACTCCTCCGGCAGGTAAGGCTGCGTTGGCTGGGTCATGTAGCCCGCATGCCCAGCCACCGCATGCAGAAACAGCTTTTGTTCGGCCGGATCGAGGGGGCTAAATGGGCGCGGCACAGGCTAGAGAAGAGATGGAGTGATGTGGTACAGGAGGACGTGGAGCTGAGTGGACTTGCCGATGACTGGTACCAGCGGTGTCAAGATCGGCCTCTGTGGAGAAGGCTCGTGAAGGACGCTACTGGGCAGTTGGAGGCAGTCGCCCTCCAACAACAACGGAGGGCGGAGGAGCGACGCTCACAACAACGAGCGGAGCGCCGGGTGGCTAAAGCACAGCAGGTTGGCACAGTAGGGGGCACAGTTGGTGCATCAGCCAGTCATCTTAGTCAATCGACCCGTGGCACCTGGGTCTGCCCCGTGACCTCCTTCCAGCGGGCGTTCGACCCTTCACGTGGCCTCAAGGTGCACATAGCCTGACACAAGCGTCGTGGTGGCGTCACCGCCACTTAGTGGGGAATGGCGGTAGTTGTTGTTGTTGTTGAGTGTGTGGGTGAGTGTGTGGGTGAGTGAGTGGGGAGCGATAGTGTATCGGTTAGCGCGCTGCGCTATGAACCTGGCGACCCGGGTTCGATTCCCGCTCACGGCCAACACGAGTGACGATTATCTGAACCGGTCCCGCGCCTCCCCTAGGTCGACTCAGCCTCAAATGAGTACCTGGTGCGGTGTGTAAATATTGCCACTAGGGAGACAAAGGCGGTCGGGCGTGGTGCTGGCCACCCACCCCCTCGTGTACCGTTCCGGCCTTCATAGGTGCTCGCTAACAGCACTTGCCCCTACAGTCTGTTAAGGCTGTATGGGGGATATTTGTATTTGTATTTGTCTTTGTCTTTGTGGGTGAGTGTGTTGCTGTCCATGTCCCTTCACCGGGGTCGCACCACCGCCGCCTGAACCCGTCCAGTGGAATGTTGACGACGATGATGATGGTGATGATGATGGTGATGATGATGGTGATGATGATGGTGATGATGATGGTGATGATGATGGTGGTGATGATGGTGGCGAGGGGCGGACTCTGCGTTATCTCGCGTGACGCACGCTCCCACACGAACCCGCTGATATGTTCCGCTCCGCGATAGCGCGGACTGCGAACCCAGAAAACGCCCCGCGCCTTCTCGAGCCCTCTTCTCGTTTCGTTCGCCATTTGAAACGCGACCCGCAAGTGATTGTGTCTAGTAATATTTATTATTTTTGTATTATTATCGTTGCAAGCCCAGTAAACATGGCACGTGGGGGCCCAACTTGTGGCACGTGGTTGGAATCGTTGGCTGGGCTCTCCACTCGCGATGCCATCGGGAGGTTCTGATGTACAGCGGGTACAACTAAACACATAAACTATTTTTTTATTTTACCAGGTAAGGCCCACTGAGCTAATTAGCTTTTATTTTTTATCAGAAGCAACCTGGCTATCACGAATGACAGCTCAGCGAGGTGGCTTATCGCGTGCACAGCTATTGCAGCCAATTACTCTGAACGCGTGACGTCGATTCTCAACGTGGAGGGGAAAACCGGAGGAGAGAACCCCACGCGAGCACGGGGGGAGAGAGACACGCAGACTCCAAATATACAGCAGCAGCAGCAGGCGTCAGGGTCGGGATCGAACCCTCGGCCTCCTGCATACCAGGCGAGGTAGTTAACATCTCCTAGCCACCGTGGCACCCCATGGATATTGGGGCAGTGGTCGGTCACGTGATGAACACGTTCGCACTTTAGCCACATTCACGATGGCCAGTGCGACTTTTTCATTCATTCATTCCCCACGCGTGAAGGAAACAGCCGCAGCTGCCGTGAGTTATTCTAATACGAGCAAGCGCAGCTTTCTGTGCATTGACAAGTGGATCAAATGTATCGTGAACATCGTCGTCATCATCAGCCATGGCCGATCAACCGCTGGGTGGATGCATCCCCCATCAGCCGCTACCACTCACAGTACTACGATGCAATCATCCACGGAGCGTCTGCACACGATATGACTTCCCATTACGCGTCCTGCATGATTGCACGCATCATCCAATAATGTGTGACGCACGTAATGTGCCCAATCAGCTGTTGTAGCTTAGAATTCTCCACCCGGTCCACACTGTGCAACCACCACACTGCAGGTCACAGCAACACACTCACCCACTCACTCACCCACTCACTCACCCACCCACCCACTCACTCACCCACTCACCCACTCACCCACTCACTCACCCACTCACTCACCCACTCACCCACCCACTCACTCACCCACCCACTCACTCACTCACCCACTCACTCACTCACCCATTCACTCACCCACTCACTCACCCACTCACCCACTCACTCACCCACCCACTCACCCACTCCTTCACCCACTCACTCACCCACCCACTCACCCACTCACTTACCTACCCACTCACTCACCCACTCACCCACTCACTCACCCACCCACTCACTCACCCACTCACTCACCCACTCACCCACCCACTCACTCACCCACCCACTCACTCACTCACCCACTCACTCACTCACCCATTCACTCACCCACTCACTCACCCACTCACCCACTCACTCACCCACCCACTCACCCACTCCTTCACCCACTCACTCACCCACCCACTCACCCACTCACTTACCTACCCACTCACTCACCCACTCACCCACTCACTCACCCACCCACTCACTCACCCAATCACTCACCACACTGCAGGTCACTGCAACACACTCACCCACTCACTCACCCACTCACTCACCCACCCACTCACTCACCCACTCACTCAGTCACTCACTCACTCACCCACTCACTCACTCACTCACCCACCCACTCACTCACTCACTCACCACACTGCAGGTCACTGCAACACACTCACCCACTCACTCACCCACTCACTCACTCACTCACCCACTCACTCACCACACTGCAGGCCACTGCAATGCACTCACCCCCTCACTCACGCACTCTCCCCCTCACTCACTCACCCACTCACTCACCCACCCACTCACCCACTCACTCACTCACCACACTGCAGGTCACTGCAACACACTCACCCACTCACTCACTCACCCACCCACTCACTCACCCACTCACTCACTCACCCACTCACTCACCCACCCACTCACTCACCACACTGCAGGTCACTGCAACACACTCACCCACTCACTCACCCACTCACTCACTCACCCCCTAATTCACCCACTCACTCACCACACTGCAGGTCACTGCAACACACTCACCCACTCACTCACCCACTCACTCACCCACTCACTCACTCACCACACTGCAGGGCACTGCAACGCACTCACCCCGTCACTCACCCACTCACTCACTCACCCACTCACTCACCCACCCACCCACTCACCCACTCACTCACTCACCACACTGCAGGTCACCTCACTTCTCCATCTGCTTCGTCCTTCGTACTGCTCCACTTGGGAATTCCCTCCCTGAACAGCTCGAACCGTATCAGCGTTGCTCGCTATGAGTGTGCTCACCCTATTAGTGTGCTCACCCTGTGAGTGTGCTCACCCTATTAGTGTGCTCACCCTATTAGTGTGCTCACCCTATTAGTGTGCTCACCCTGTGAGAGTGCTCACCCTGTGAGAGTGCTCACCCTGTGAGTGTGCTCACCCTGTGAGACTGCTCACCCTGTGAGACTGCTCACCCTATTAGTGTGCTCCCCCTATTAGTGTGCTTACCCTATCAGTGTGCTCACCCTGTGAATGTGCTCACCCTGTGAGAGTGCTCACCCTGTGAGAGTCCTCACCCTAGGAGCGTGCTCGCTATGGCTTGTTGGGAGCGGTGGTGCAGCGGTTAGCGCTACGCTGCATTACGAAGCCGGCGACCCAAGTTCGATTCCCGCTCATGGCCAAAATCGGTGACGAATATTTGACCGGTTCTGGGCCTCCCCTAGGTAAACTCAGCCTTAAATGAGTACCTGATGCGATGTGTAAAACAGCAGCGGTAGGGAGACAAAGGCGACCGGACGTGGTGCTGGCCACCCACCCCCTCGTGTGCCGTGCCGGTCTCAATAGGTGCTGGCTAACAGCACTTGCCCCAACAGTCTGTTAACAAAATCTACATGGAGGATTTTGTCTTTTGCAATGGCTTAGCTGGCGTGACAAACTGATGATCGATGTTGCGTGCGCACGTGTCCCGAGACACTGGGTGCAGTCATATATATACACCAGGGTATATATATAGTCTATTGAAATAGCATTTCATTAAGGTCAAAACCTGCCGTGTATAGACTATTTAGACTGTTGGCGGCACTTTACAAGTACAGCCCTTTTATCAATCCACTGCTGGATGAGGGCACGCCCACGCCGCGCGCGGGTCGTGGGGGTCATTCGACCATACTTCTCCACAATGCTCAGCGAGGGTTAGCAAAGAGCCAGGAACGTTCACCGACGTTGGAGCATAGAAGCCCAGTACAACAATGGTGTTGCTGTACCGTCCCCCCGGCACTGCCTACAACGTGACCCCTACAGCGGCGCGATGCGAATCTGGCGCCCATCCAAGCACTATCCAGGCTCAATGCTGCTTAGCTGCCGAGGTCTGGCACAGTCCGAGTGATGTCGTCATAGGCAGTCGTTGTTAGTGAGCACTAATTATAAATTATAATTTGTAATATACACACAGACACAGTAAATGCGAACTCTAATATCAAGCCTGCTTTAGTTGATGATGCTGATGATGATCAGACTGCTGATGATGACATCACCACTGCTGTTGTTGCTGATATCAACGCTGACAATACTTGGCTGATGATGATAGCTAACGCTGATGATTATGCTGATGACATCAATGCAGTTGACGCTGTCGAATCTGATGTGACTGCTGCTGATGATGATCATGGTGGTGGTGGTGCCCAGGTCATCGCCCCGCAAAGCCTTAACAGACTGCTCGGGCAAGTGCTGTTCGCGAGTCGGAGCATCGATGCCGAGGTCATCCGCTCGCTCACCTGCAGGTCACACCTGAAGAGAGAGTTGAGCATATCCCGCGACGCCCCCTGCAGGACCCTGGCGTCTCCCGGGTAGAGCGCCTGCCACACGTGCCAGAGGGGCTCGAAGAGATAGAACACGCCGGGGTGCTGATTAAACAGCTCCCCGACGAACGACGACCCGGACCTCCACGTGGTCAGGATGAACACCTGGGTGCGCAACGTCCTCGGCTCGCTCCGCTCCAGCGTGGAGCTTCTCGTCTTCTTCTGCTTCCCGACGGCCTCCAACGCCTCGCCGCCCGGCGCGTCCACGCCGCCTGCGTCTTGCGACGCGCGGGCACCAATCACGTTGGTGCCCGCGGCGAGTCGGGCCTCCGGGGAAGGTTTCCAAGGCTCGATGCCTCGGATTCTCTTGCTGCTGCTGCTGGCACAGTCCAGCCCGATGGCTTGCCTGATGTCCAGCACGTTGGCCACTGCTACTAAGAGGGCACACGTGTACGCAGTCCACAGCGCCAGGGTTTTCAGTCGGACCCTCATGTTGATTCACTCGTGAAAGAGATGGCGTAGCATGGGGAGGGGGGTAGACAGTTGATGGTGATGACTCGACGATGTGTCGTGAATATCGTACGATGTGTCGTTGAGAATAGATGATGATGTGTTATAGATAATGATGATGGTCTGTTATAGATGATGATAATGAGGATGGTGTGGTATAGATGATGATAGTGATGTGTTATAGATGATGATGATGTGTTATAGATTATGCTGGTATGTTATAGATGATGATGATGATGTGTTATAGATGATGATGCATGAGTAATTTACTTTGTTAATGACGATGATGGTGATGATGTTGGGTTATTGATTATGTGATGCGTTACAGGTAGAGATGATGATGTGAATGTGTTATAAATGATGTTAATATTAGAGAATCATACGTTACTGATGATAATGATGATGACGGTGTATTAATGCTAATGGCAATGATGATAAGAATATATTATAGATGCTGATGGTTATGCTACTGCTGCTAATGATGAATCGTGGATTATAGATGATGATGATCACGATGATGATATATCTGCTGTTACAACTCCGGCTCTCTTCCAAAACAACGATCCCTACACGCAGCTCGCGCGCTCTCTCTCTATATATCTCTCCCTTATCTCCCTCTCTGTGTCTCTTTCCCTCTCTCCCCCCTCTCTCTCTCTCTCTCGATCTCTCTCTCTATCTCTCTCTATATCTCTCCCTTATCTCCCTGTCTGTGTCTCTTTCCCTCTCTCTCCCCCTCTATCTCTCTCTCGATCTCTCTCTATCTCTCTCGATCTCTCCCTCTATCTCTCTCGATCTCTCTCCCTCTCTCTATATCTCTCTCCCTCTATCTCTCTATCTCTCCCTTATCTCCCTCTCTGTCTCTTTCCCTCTCTCTCCCCCTCTGTCTATATTTCGATCTCTCTCTCTCTCGATCTATCTCCCCCTCTCTATATATATATCTCTCCCTCTATCTCTCTCTCTCTTAAATAATGTTTTGCTTCCCGGGCCGGAGTAGACACGAACGTCACTCGCTCAATAAAATCCAAAACGGCGATGCTTCATCACGAGACGCGACTCCCGAAGCGAGGCCAGACACCCGAGCATCGCTCTTCTCTCCTCCGCAGCGGTCCGCAGTCGAGTTGGTTGTTTTACTGTTGCTGCTACTGTTGTTGCTGCTGTTGCTGCTGCTGCTGTTGCTGCTGTTGTTGTTGCTGCTACTGCTGTTGTTGCTGCTGCAGCTTCGTGCGCATTCTTGATAACGAGTAACGAGGCGAGGAGCGAGCGGGCCGCCTGCTGTCTGTCTGCGCGCCTGCTCGGTGCGCGCGCGCGCGGTGTTCACATCCACCGTGTGCCCGGAATATTAAAGAGAAACCAAGCGAACGCCCTTCCCATTGAGAATATCAAATGCGCATTCGCTGGTGTGTGTTGTTGTTGTCGTCGTGTATCGCTGCGTTTGTTGCTGTGCTTAGTTGGTAGCTTTGCAACAACACGAAAGGCTACGGCAAGCGATGACAACTCGCAGACCCGTAACGGATTCCTGCCCATACATTCGGGGTGCTGTCGTAGGGTAGATTACATCACTGCTCGCACGCACGCGCAGGCACGCGCGCACACAAGCACACGTGATTCTTATGTGTAGTAGGGCGTGTGTGTGTCTGTGCGTGCGTGTCTGTGCGTACGCATCTGTGCGTACGTGTGTGTGTGCGTGTGTGTGTGCGTACGTGTCTGTGTGTACGTGTCTGTGTGTACGTGTGTGTGTGCTCGTCACGCTCGGAACGGACGCGTGCAGTGTCGCTGTGTGTGTGGTGTCTCTCTGTGTGTGTGTGGTGTCTCTGTGTGTGTGGTGTCTCTCTCTGTGTGTGCGGTGTCTCTGTGTGTGGTGTCTCTCTCTCTTTGCGTGCGGTGTCTCTGCGTGCGTGGTGTCTCTCTCTGTGTGTGTGGTGTCTCTGTGTGTGTGGTGTCTCTGTGTGTGTGGTGTCTCTGTGTGTGTGGTGTCTCTGTGTGTGTGGTGTCTCTCTCTGTGTGTGTGGTGTCTCTGTGTGTGTGGTGTCTCTCTGTGTGTGTGTGGTGTCTCTGTGTGTGCGATGTCTCTCTCTCTGTGCGGTGTCTCTCTCTGTGTGTGCGGTGTCTCTCTCTCTCTGTGCGGTGTCTCTCTATGTGTGTGCGGTGTCTCTCTCTCTGTGTGTGTGCGGTGTCTCTCTCTCTCTGTGTGTGTGGTGTCTCTGTGCGCGGTGTCTCTCTCTGTGTGTGTGTGCTCTCTGGACTGCACCTCCCTCTCGCCCCGTCTCTCCGCCCACAGCAGTAAAGGCGATGTAGCGCGGATGGGCCACGGGAACCAGGGGGCCTCTTTGCGAGGTGGTGGTTGTTGTGGTGGTCGTTGTTGTGGTGGTTATGGTGGTGGTTGTTGTGTTCCGTGTTGCCGATTACGTCCCCTCCGTGACTATTCAGACAGCTGAGTGGCGTTGTGATGCCACGGATTGTGTGTCTCTGTCACGGATTGTGTCTCTGTCACGGATTGTGTCTCTGTCACGGATTGTGTCTCTGTCACTGATTGTGTCTCTGTCACGGATTGTGTGTTTCTGTCACGGATTGTGTCTCTGTCACGGATTGTGTCTCTGTCACGGATTGTGTCTCTGTCACGGATTGTGTCTCTGTCACGGATTGTGTCTCTGTCACGGATTGTGTGTCTCTGTCACGACGATGATGGTTGTGGTGGTGGTGTATTGGGGTTGGAGGTGATGATGATGATGATATGCCATGGGATACTAGATGATGATAATGGGTTATAGATGATGATCATCATCAGCATGTATTGAGGATTGGAGGCCAAGTACCCATCGTACCGATTGAGTCGGGTCGATGACCGTCACTTGTGGTATGGGTGAAGGGTGCGGGCAGTCCCTCGCTCACAATCAGTAACGCCGCTTGAATCATTGTCGTCATCATCATCAGCTGTTGTACACGGCTCCTCTAGCAGCATCGTCATCATCACCACACACACCACACACACACACCACACACACACCACACACAAACACCACACACACACCCCACACACACACACACACCACACACACCACACACACACACCACACACACACCACCACACACACCCCCACACACCACACACACACGACCACACACACACACACCACCACACACACCACCACACACACCACCACACACACACCACACACACACCCCACCACACACACCACCACACACACACCACACACACACCACCACACATACCACCACAGACGACTAACCACAGCCATAGTGAGAGGTGTCTACTGGATGCCGTCTACGGGGTGGGCGGGGATTTTTTCCCCCGGGTCGCCGGTCGACTTGGAGTTAGCAGCATGCGATTTGGTCTCTTTGCTTGCGCGTGTGAGTTTGCGTCCCAAACAGGGTCATTGGAGTAATGACCCCAGAACAACAACAACAAACAACAACAAACAACACCAAACCGCAGCAATGTGGGGATGCCCAGCGTTGAATCCCATCTGGGTCTGATGACGCAAGATGGGGAATGAGATGCTCGTCGTATGCCAAGACCACGGAACATTGTACGTTTTGGGACGAGCTCTGAATGCCCCGAGACTTGCTCTGTCTTTGTCCAGTTCAGGTCTCACACTGGTGGTGCTACTGTCGCTGGTGTGGGCCAATCAGTTTCAAAGACAAAGCATCAAATATAATCAGAGCCACGTGTTTGTTTGCATGTTCACCACAAGCACGTGTGGTTAATGCAGAAATTATTCCTTGCAAAATGTTTCCATTTGGTGTTTGAACGTCTGAACACCTACTGTTTTATTGTCAGAAAGGGTACAACATATTCTTATTTTTTTCATATTCTGCGTTTTTTTAGAATGCTTGACTACCCTTCGTGGCGGCCACGAGTCGTGGATAGGCCCTCATCCAGCAGTGGATTGACAAACCAGGCTGTACACACGCACATCCATAGCTAGATCAGCTCAAGCCTCCCGTATAGAGCGTGACTTCCGTGTAGGGGTGGACCCCCCCCCCCACTTTGGACCCCCCCCCGTGGTAACTGTGTGCACCCAGCACACCACGTGACGTGCGGCACGTGCCAACACACTCCGCTCCATCAGTAACTCGCCCGAGAAATGATGACCACACGTATCGCAGCATCTACCACAGCTCGCAAGCCTCTGCCGATTCTTCTCAGGAGCTCTGGAGTCGCGGGTTCAAAGCCTCCGCGCTCAACTTCACACGCGGCTAGGCGCGTGCCCTCGCTATTGAAGGACCGTGATCGTTTTGTAACAAAAGGCACACATCTGCCCCTCGACGTAAACAAACACAACTTGGTGTTTACACTTCACGTGAGCAACACGCGTCCTTCTGGGAGCGCGCACTCTCAGCAGCATTGGTTCAGCTCAAGCAAAGCTCTGGACCGGTTTCCACATTCAGTGTATCATCATCAGCAGCAGCAGCAGAGCCCGGCTTTGCTTGAACCAATGCTGGTGAACTGCCAGATGTTTTTTTTATAGGCCCCTCTCTATGATATACGCGTCCTAGTCCTGTACAATACGCAGCCCACATGGGGGGACGTATTGCCCGCTTATTGACGCCGTTTCTTGCATTCTCCACAACCAAGCGAAATGCGTGGTTGCGAAGTGACTGATCGACTGCCGGCGTTCTATTGAAAGCGCCGTACATTGTGTCTGGGTGCCCTTGGGGTGTGAGTGCGGGTCTTACTGTGGCGACGTTGTGTGCACTATTGTTTCATCTACAAATGTTGTTTCAAACATTGTTGGCCACTGCACGCGCGTTTCCTCTGCTGTGGCAGTTTGCTTTCATAATGCATTTGCCTCATTCCCACTGCTCAATAGAAGCAATCAAACGAATACTAAACTATTTTTGTTTTTATTTTTGTGTTACCAGGTAAGGTCCACCGAGCTATGTAGCTCTCTTTAAGACGCGACCTGGCTAACACAAATGATAGCACAACGACGTGGCTTATCATGTGGAAATGTATAGCAGAAGCCGAATAATCTTAAACGCATAATTCGAAATGTGGAGGTAAAAACCGGAGGACCCGGAGAACAATCCACGCGACCACGTGGAGAAAGAGACACCATAAATTCTAGATTTGAAGTTTTCGTGACTGCAAGGATCTATACTCTTTGGTTCTATTCGGTAAAGTCACGTAGGTAAAAAATAAAACAACAAAAAATCACGACGTTTCGGCCACAACACAAGCAGCCGCTTGTGTTTTTTTACCTACATGACTTTACCGAATAGAACCAAAGAGTATAGACACCATGAACTCCAAATATATAAGCGTCGTCAAGGTCGGGGATCGAACCCACGGCCTCCTGCACAGCAGGCGACGTAGCTCACATCTCCTAGCCACCAAACAACGGGACAAAAATCACGGCCGCACTCGTGCCCAAGCAAAGCGCGCGCAGTGGATGGCCGCGTGCAGGCATCCGCTGGGACCTTAGAACAAAACTGCGCCACAAACAACCGCGCGTGGTGCACGTGCGGTCAGAGGGCGTCACCCAACAGCGAGACGTCAACGAGGTGCCCGGGAATTCATCGTTTGATGTGGCAGCCCACGTGCAGCGGCTGATGGTCTAGTTTATAATCAGCGCTCGTCGTTCTGATGATGATGATGATTTTAGCATAATTATTACTAGTTGAGCGCGACTGCTGCGTGCCGATGAGCCTCTGTGAAGACAGCAGCACTCGCT